AAAAAAAGAAGAAATTAAAAAAAAAAAAAAGAATGACTTTAACTTTTATGCCCAAGTACTTAACTCTTTTTTTTGGTAGAAATCTGACTTGTTTTTATCTCCTTCTTTTGCAAAAACAGATGATATGGGAAAAGTACTCAAAGAAGGACAACTGGAATCTCCAGTAGAATCAATCTCTCGCCTGCAGAAAAAAGGCTGGCATATCTCGATGTCACCTGACCAGTTCCTTCTGACTGTCAATGCTCTGCAACAGACTCACAATTCAGGGGTTTTTGCCTATCCTCACAGGCCCCAAACTCAAGTCGTTGATAACCGGGGACCTTCAATTAACTTCCCGAGAAAGGTTCTCAATTTCCAAGGAAAATCACTCCAGGATGCAGTCCAGAAGCTGAGATCCAGCCACCCCTCGACAGAAATAACACAAACCAGCACACCTCTTGAAATCCAGAAACTGCACCTTAACCTGAAGAATTCGTTGCACAGTTCCAGAGTCCAGTCCACAATACCACAGCCCATGCTTATCCGACCCAAACTTTCTGACATCTTCAAAGGTGAAGGCCAAATGCCCAAGCCTCTTGAAGGAGCAGTGCACAGTCCTAGTCAGCTAACCAGCATGCATGTCATTAGAACGAGACCCATGATTGCTCCAAGAATGGGCACAAAGACCTTGCCTTTCAAGAAAGAACGGCCTAGTTTCTACACAACCCTCAATCCTTTCAGAATTAACACTGGGTTCAAGTTACTGACTATGAAGGAGGAGAAAGAGTACAGGGAAGCCAAAGTGAAAGAAGACCAGGCCACTAAGCCCACTGTAGTAGCTGATCCAGAGAAGGCCCGTAAAATTGCCTGGCTCAGAAAGATCAAAGGTTTGCCAATAGACGATTTCATGAAGCAAGGAAAAACAGCAGCCCCTGAACTTGGACCAAACACGTTTATCTGAATCCAGCTTGGGGAATTACAATGTCTTATAATAAAAGCAAAACCAAGTGGACACTGGAGTCTGGCCTTCTACTTTTTTTGGGGGGCTGTTCCCTGGAAGATATTATGAGAACTTGTAATTATCTTCCTCTAAGAATGGAAGTGAGATCAAAGTAAGAGAAAAAAAGCATTCTGAGAGAGATTGGAATTTGCACTCTCATTGAAAACCATTCAATGGACTTTAGGAAGTTGGCTTTAAATGAGGGGTGGAGGGGAAAGGGAGACATGAGCACTAGTAATTAGGTATCATTCAACACTACGAGTTTAATGCTATCATTCTATTTCAGCAAATGAAGTGACAGACATTTAACAGAATTATGCATTGGATTTCCCTAGTGGCTTTGCAAAGAACTTTTACAAACTTTGAGTTTGACTTATTGCATTTAGTCAAGTTTGTGTTTTTCTCTTAGAACTAATGCCTGTAGGAGAGAAGAGAACATACTTTCCCTCTTTACAAAAAAAGGGTGACTAACAATGAATGCATTAATGTTTCTGTTTATATTTTCAAGAGAATGGCCACAGACTAGCAAAGAGAAGCCATGGGAGAGTTCCTACTCAGAGGTTCAGAATTGCTAGGCCCTTTCGTATTTAAGTGAAACCAGAAACCCAATTTCTCTGTAAAATAACTTTTTTTAAAAAGAATGACAATGAATGAAAATAGATGCAAATGCAAAAGGAAACTAAGCTAAAAGACAAACCAACCATAGCACTGGGTGCCTGAGTCACAGAAGCCATTAGTGGTCATCCTGCATCTACATGTTGTCTGCTCCCAACCTCAGATCTTCTTCCCAACTGCATGGTATGCAAGTGCTCAAGCCACCATTTCTTTGAGAAGTACTCTTTTGTCTTTCTTCTCTTCTTTCTTAGAATATTCCACTTAAAACAGCACAGATAAATGTGTAAAATTGTGATTTTAAAGAAAAGAATTATTTTAACTAAGATGATGTGCATGTTATTTCATAACCCTTCCAACAGCAGTTTAAGGTGAGCTGAGAAGATAGGATACTGTTATTATCCATTTCAAAGCATGATTTTTTTTTAAAAAAAACTTAACTCAGTCCTGTCCAGTCAGTTGTCACTCATAACTGATGTGGCTTTTCAGAGGCTGTAAATCTCATGGGAGGAGATTGCCCATTTTCTTCCCATAAGCCCCCCTGGCGAGTAGAACTGCCAGAGAAACACAGAGCCATGGAGTTGTTAGCACAACTGGCTATGGACACACCACCAGAGCTCCTTAATAATGATTTGTACTATCAGAGATACAAGCTGGGTTTAGAAGAGGCCCTAGCATTAGGGCTATCATCACAAATGCCAGATGGGTCTTGGCCAAAAGTAGAGAGTACCAGAGGAATGTCTAGCTGTGTTTCATTGACTATGCAAAGGCATTTGTCTGGGTGGATCACAACAAATTGTGGTTAACCTTAAGAAGAATGGGAATCCCAGAACAATTGATTGTGCTCATGAGAAACCTATACTTGAACCAGGAGGCAGCCATCAGAACAGAGCAAGAAAACACTGGATGATTCAAAATCAGGAAAGGAGCAAATCTGGGCTATGTCCTGCCTCCACATCTTTTCAGTCTATATGTGGGACAGATCATTTGGGAAGCTGGATTTTATGAAGAAGAATGTGACATTAGGATTTGAGGGAGACTCATTACAACCTGTGTTAAGATGATCCAACTTTGCTTGCTGAAACTGAGGAGGGCCTGAAGCTATTACTGTACCACTCTAGCCTACAATATGGATTGAAGCTCAATATTAAGAAAACGAAGATTCTCACCACTGGGCCAATTGGTAGCATCGCCCCGCCCCGCCCCCCGTCGCCCGCGCCCCGCCCATACCATTGCTCCTCCTGAAGCGTCAGTGCGGAAGGGGTGGAGCTTATGCTCTGTCCATTCCGAGGCGGAGGAAGCTACGCTGACCCTCGGAGGCGGGCACGCTGACGTGGTTTGCCGGAAGTGGGGTTGGCAAAAGACCGCTATGTTGCAGCAGGTGAGGGGCCCTGATCTCGTAAAGGGTAGGAGGCGCAGGTTGCAGGTTATAGTGAATCGGCGTCCCAGTGCTTTTGCGTTCTCGTCCGAGCTTGAGGCCGATCCTGTCGGCTTCTCCCGGAGCTTGCGGACGCCGGCCTAGGCGGGGGAGGGTCCCGGGAGGTCCGGCTCTGGCCGGCGGGGGCGTTGGGTCTCTGAGGACCTGTACCAGCCCCGGGCAGGGAGCGGAGAGCGCGCCTGGCTGGAGGGAGATGAGGCGGTGCGGAGTCCCGACGACTAGGGAAGCACTGTGAAATGTAAACCAGTGAGCGCGCCGCCTGCCATCGCTGCGGGCTGTGGGCACTCGTGGGTTCCTGGTGGTGTGTTACTCCCGGTTCCGGTGGGTACCGGGGTGCACAGCGAAGCCCTCTCAAGCCCGCGCTTGGCCTCCTAGGATGATGCGCAGGAGTCTTGCAGTCATGTGTTCTGGACCAAATTAGCAGTGATGGTGATTAATGGTCCACTTCGATTATTATAGTTGTACCCTTAAAATAAAGTCTGCATATTTAAGGCCAGAGCAAAACCAAAATAACTCACCAAAACAAAACCCCCAAATCCACAGCTGTGTACTCAGTTCCGACTCAGCTACCCAATAGTACAGAGTACAACTCTCCGCCCGGTAGGATTTCCTTCCAGAAGCTCCATGCACATCTTTGCAGAAATACGTACTTCATATTTGTTCCGCAAGGTGGCCTGTGTTACTACCTCCATCCTTGAGGCTGGCTCTAGCCTACTGCTTTAACTGTGACAGCAGCCAGGCACTAGTGATTGCTGTTTGGTAATCACTTTTTTACTGAATACAGGCGCATTTCATATATCGTTACATTATTTTACATGTTTCATTTCACAATTTCTAGATTACTGTTGACTCACTGCACTGTGGGATACCGGATTGAACTATATATTTACTATTGTTTTGATTTGTGGGAGTCTGGCTGGCTTTATGTATTAACATATTGGGCTGCTGCTAGAAGGGTCAGTGGTGCAACCCATCAGCTGCTCTTCTGTTAGGATGAGCTGTCTTTTCCCATGAAGATGTTCAGCCGTGGAAAAACCTGAGAGGGTCACAGTAAGTCTGAATGGAGTTTCCTTTTGGGTTGGAGTGTAGTGTAAGTGGTGGGCAAACAGTAGAACAGTCTTCTGCTCTAATGCTTTCTTTACTCAAGGTTTTCTTTCTCCTCCCCTTTTTCTTTCTTTTATTTGTAAAGTAGTTCTTATGCTAGTATCTTGAACTTCTGTGTCTAAAACCAAACTACAGACTTCGGGGCCTGATTTGCTTGACCCAGAGTTTCTCTAAATAAATGTAACTACTTGAGTCCACATCTATTTGTCTTCTCTTTTTAGCTACACTGCTTCCAAAAAATGCCGGCTACTTAATTAAAAGAACCATTGCTGTCCAGTTGGAAGAGAATAAACAGGTCTGTCCTGGAGAGGGTGAAGCCAGGCTCCTCCCTAGAGACAAGGATTTTGAAGCTCCATCTCACATACTTTGGACATGTTGCCGGGAGGGACCAGTCCTATGAGAAGGACATGATGCTTGGAAAGGTAGAAGGATACTGCAGGAGAGGAACACCCTGGATGAGACTGATTGATACAGTGACTGGGGCAATAGGGCAGGTGTGTTGGAGACAGTGAAATTAGCTCAGGATAGAATGAGGATCAGAGCTATTGTACATAGCATTGCTATGAGTTGCAGATGACTCGATGCACATAACAATATATACCTCATGCTCTAGTGGGATTTTAGAGGCTGTAAATTGCATGGGAAGAGATTGCACTTATGTGAAACAGCTGGTGGATTTAATGGCCTGTCTTCGGTTGGCAGCACACCTTTTACCCACTAGGCCGCTACATCTCCCTACTTAATAAGCAGTCTTTGCTTGCTGAATAAGTAATGAAAATGAATTTTTAATAGATTGAGGCGATAAAAGGAAGCTTCTAAGTGAAAGTCACCTATTCAAACTACACAGTAAGATACAAATTTGGCAAGTTAAGGAACTTAGTCTGACAAGAGCTTGTTCTTTTTAGGTGCCATTGGCCCTATGAACAACAGATCTGAACCTTGCCCTATCCTGTACCAAACTGAGTCTCTTAATATGCTGGAGCCTGTTAAAGCAGCTTTGTTAATCTGTCTTGTTAGGGGAATCTTCCTCTCTTCCTCTGAGCCTCCACCTTTGCCGGCATGATAACCTTTTCCAAGGGTGGCCCCTCCTGACAAGATACGCAAAGTGTGTGAGGTGAAACTTCATTAGATTTGCTTCTAAGGAGTTCTGTGGTTGCACATCCAGATTTGTTCTTTTGGTAGTCTGTGATACAGTCAGTACTCTTCAGCACCTCAACTCAGAGGCATCAGTTCTTAGCTGGAGAAGAGGGAGTGGTCCAGGGTAAAATCTTGGAGCTAAGAGGAAGCTAGATCATGTCTAGACGTCAAGAGTCTACTTTTCATTTCAAGGCAGTATAGGTTTTAAGCTGGGAAATGCTGTGAAACTCAAAACTCGTTTTTTTCGTGCCTTTTCCAACTCTTGACAATCCTCTAATGACTTTCTGAGACTGTAAATCTTGACTGGAGAAGACCGTTAACCTTTCTCCCTCAGATCCTTTGGTGGATTTGAACTGCCTTTTGATTAACAAGGGAGCTCTGGTGGTGTAGTCTGTAGAGAGTTATATTATTAACCCAAATAAAGCACCTTTCTAGCAGTTTGAATCATCCGGCATCTTCATGGGAGAAAGGGGGGTAGTTTCCTCACATGCAATTTATAGCTTCCTAAAACCTGTTGGAAGGTCAGCTATAAGTCAGTTCCAACTCAACAATAATGAGTTTTGAGGTGTTTTTGGTCTGCTTGGCCATTCCCTAAATGTGCTATATATAATCACACTTCTTTGCTATTGAAAAGATACCTAGCCAGGGTATTAGAGTAAACAGGAGACCTTGGTCTGGCAAACTTCTGGAAACATCTCCTGAGTCCTCTAGTAAAAACCATTTTCTTCTCCCTTCTGCTCACATTGGCTCTTTTGTTTCACATAGGAGTGATCATAGTTCACTTTATTGTTGATAAATCCCACTTTTTGTTTATTCATTCATGTTTTCAGATGGTACTACACAACTTGGTCAGGTGCTCTGACAGGACCCATCGTGCTAGGGTGCTAATGATGCTCATTGAGTCTAGACTTTAACAACATTGTAATATAAGATTTTTTTTTTTAGTAGCTCAGAGTGTAGGGTGGAATAGAGAGGAGAGTCAAACTTGCAGTGAGAAACCCTGAGATAATATTTAAATGGACATTTGTCAGAGTTCAGTGGGGACATGAGAAAAGGTATGCATGGGGGTTTCGGGGAACTTTCTTTAGTTATGCTAGGATTTGTATTTAAATTTGGAGGATGATTTTCTGTCAGCCTGTTGGTGAGTTATGTAGGAGATAGAGACAGGAAGAACTTTGCAGGTAAAGACAACAGTGTTAAAAAAAGGTCAGAGCATACTTTTGAGTACATCTAATAGTTTTTGCTGAATTGTCAAAAGTAAAGGAGTGTCAGAAGGTAAATAAGCAGGGATTAGGTTATGAGATTTTTCTAGGCTATATATGAAGGAGTTACATTTTGCTCTCTACATGTACAAGAGCCATTGGAAAATTTGAACTGAGTTCACAGATTTTCATGTTAAGAAAATTACTTTGTGGATATGGGGAGTAGTTGAGGAACAGGGTTTTAAGACTACAGATAAAGGAAAAGAAGCGATAAATGACTAGGCTTTGGTGGATCAGTGGTAAAGAGTTGCACTGCCTACCCACAAGCCAGTAGATCTAATCTATCAGTCACTCTGCAAGAAAGGTGGGCAATTGACTGTGTTGGTTCAGTTCCCTTTTATTGTTGTTGTTGTTTTTGTTGTGTACCATTGAATCAAATCCAACTGGCACAGGAGGAGATAGATTACCCCTCCTTCTCCAGTGGAGCATCTGGTGGATTCGAACCACATTGCCTTCAGGATTGCAAAACAATTTACTGCCACTAGGCCACCAGAATTCCCTAGTTGACTCCCTTTCAAAGGCACATAACATTAGTTTAGACAGAAGGCACTGTTTCACTGTTGGGGCAAGGCTAACGATAGACTACTGTGAATTAAGGAGTGGAACACTGTCAGAAGCCTGATGGAGAAAGGAAGGAATCCCCTGGAGTGGTAGCCAGAAGGGAGATTGAGGATCAGGGCTTTAAAAACGACTGTGTTGCCCCACTAAGTGACATTCGGAGAAGTTCAGGTGCTGATTAGAAAGATCAGTAGTAAGACTTTGTAATACAAGAAAGAGTCACTAAGGGGAAAATGGATGGAACAATCTCCTGAAGAGGCAGGAAAAAGGAAAAGATGAGTTCCCAAGCACATAGTTAAACCTTTAATGGAAAGGGAGAGTTGTAAAATGGGATTGTGGAAGCAAGGATGCATGCACTTGGATGGTTTTATAATTCCTCATAACCTCAGCTTTATGGTTGATGACCTGAGCTTTCCTAACATTGTCAGGCTGCAGCTGAGAATAGATGTACCATTGCATAAGCATCTCACGTCTCTGAGTGGTTTTCTCTTAGGACTCAGCCCCTCAGAAGGGGGGATGGAGAAAGTAGACACTTGGATTAGTGTGTGGATTTTTGCTGAACGGCGACAGCAGGATGGAGTAGGAGGTGCTGACAGCAGGATGGAGTAAAAGGCTCCTGCATGTGTTCTTCCAAGATTGTGAATACCTGAGTCTTATAATTTTGATTAATCTGCTGCCTTTAAGTAGATGACATTGACTTTCATTTTGCATCATGGGTATTTCATTTTCCTTTTAGGACAGTAATGATGACACTGAAGATGTTTCACTGTTTGATGCAGAAGAGGAGGCAACTAGTAGACCACAAAAATCCAAAATCAGGTACACAAATGAATTAAAAGATGTTTGTTTTGTTAATTGTCTCCTAACAGGGTCCAGATGCTTTTGAATTGCCATGTTGATAAAGAGTATTGAACATACTGTGGTACCAAAAGAGCAAACAAATCTGTCTTGGAAGTACAGCCAGTGTGCTTCTTAGAGGCAAGGATGGTCAGACTTAGTCTCATGTTATCAGGAAGGACTTATCCTTGGAAAAGGGTTTCATACTTGTAAAGGTAGAGATTCAGAGAATGAGAGGAAGGTTTTCAAGGAAATTGCTTGACACAATGACTGTAATAATAATGAGCTTAAGCACAGCAGAGATTGTGAAAATGACAAGAGTCCAGAATAAGAGCTGCATAGTAAAGTGGACTGTAGGGGAGGATTGAAGAACAATGAAAGAATTTTTTTTTCTTTTCGAAGAGAAATACGAACTGGGAGGGGGGAGGAGTAGGCAGGGAGGTAAAGGTGCAACAATGAATGAATGTAAATCCAAAGTCTATAAACTTTATTAAATTCTCAGTTAAAAAAATATTTTATAAAACAGAATGTATATGAGTGACCAATTGAAACACAATGTGAATGAAACAATGTGTGAAACGCAGCATGAAAAGTACATGAATGATGAACAATGTATTTGAATTTTATATACAAACCAATATAATACAAAAAAATGAAAAAGAAAAAAGAAGTACACATGGAAATGACCCTTCTCTCCCACCTCCCCCCCCAAAAAAAAGAAGCTGAGAGTGTAGTATGTCCTTTGGCTCAGAGATTCCTGCCGGAGACAAGGTGAAATTGAGAGATGGTGTGAGACAGTGGTAGAAGTGGATTTGACAGCATATGGTTTGAGACAGTGCTGCTCTACGTCTGCTGATCTGTGGAGTTAGAGCCAAGGGAGTACAGGCCTAGGTTACTGGTGGAATGGGTAGCAATGGCCAGTGACTCGTAATTAGCAGAACTAAGAAAGCTTTGTGACACTTGCTTAAGCAAGACAGAGCCCAAGGCCAGGAGGCCTAGGACCAGAGAGAGGCTCACCTGCGACAAAGCTGAGAAGAGGCTATCTCAATTGAAGAGTTGTACACTGATTGTCTCCAGCTTGTAGAGTAACCTTTTGTTGCCCTAGTAAATCCCCCAGTTATATTGTCTGAGAGTTCTTTTTGGCCATGATAATGAATTAAGAGAATCCAGCAAAGAAAAATAGCTACAACTATGGGAGAATGTCTATCTGTGTTTCATTGATTATGCAAAGGCATTTGACTGTGTGGATCATAACAAACTGTGGCTGACTCTGAGAAGAATGGGAATCCCAGAACATTTAATTGTGCTACTACGAAACCTATACTTGGACCAAGAGTCAGTAGTCAGAACAGAGCAGGGCAACACTGCATGGTTCAAAATTGGGAAGGGTGTACGCCAGGGATGTGTCCTATCTCCATACCTTTTCAACCTGTATGCAGAGCAGATTATCCGAGAGGCTGGGCTCTATGAGGAGAAGCGTGGCGTTAGGATTGGTGGACTATCTATCAACAATCTGCGTTATGCAGATGACACAACTTTGCTTGCTGAAACTTAGGAGGACCTCATGCACTTACTGCGAAGGGTCAAGGACTGCAGCCTTTAGTATGGACTGAGGCTCAATGTTAAGAAGACAAAGATTCTCACCACTGGACCAATTGGCAGCATCAGGATGGATGGTGAAGAGATTGAGATTGTTCACAGCTTCAGTTTGCTCGGCCCCACAGTCAACACTCTTGGCACCAGCAGTCAAGAAATCAAAAAGCGTATCACGATGGGAAAGTCTGCTGTTAGGGACCTCTCTAAAGTACTCAGGAGCAACGGTGTCTCTCTGGAGACTAAGGTGCGCCTGATATAGGCCATGGTCTTTGCAATCGCTTGTTATGCATCAGAGAGTTGGACAGTGACTAGGGAGGACAGAAGAAGAGTGGATGCTTTTGAGCTGTGGTGCTGGAGAAGAGTACTGAATGTACCATGGACTGCCAGGAAAACAAACAGATTCATCTTGGAGAGGATTAAACCAAGCTACTCCTTGGAGGCAAGGATTCTGGGGCTTCGTCTGACATATTTTGGACATATTGCCAGGAGGGATGGGTCCTTGGAGAGGAACATCATGCTTGGGAGGGTGGAGGGACAGCGCAGGAGGGGAAGACCCTCTATGAGATGGATTGATTCGGTGACTGGGGCAATCGGGATGGGTGTGTCAGAGGCAGTGCGGTTAGCGCAGGATAGAGCAGGGTTTAGGGCTGTTGTGCATAGGGTCGCTATGAGTCGGAAACGACTCGACAGCACATACCAACACAACAACATGGGAGGGAACTTGGTGCTGACTCATTGGGGCATGTCTCACTTCATTGGAATCAGTTTTGTGTTGTTGATGCTGTGACATAGCTATTTCCCCTGTGGGATTAGTTGAAATCAGAGTCTTGTATCCCTCACTGTTAGGGAAGAGTTAGAAAGAAAGCAAGATAAGATATTCTATTTCTTTCTTAAGCCATGCGTTTTAATAAAAATCTGCATGGTTCTATCCTAAGTAAAACATTTTTCATTTGCAGTCCACTTAATAACTGTTGAATGTTTAGATATAGGACATTATGTTATTTGTGTGTTGTGTGAATACCATATAAAAGTTTATAGTAGCCTGCTCCCATGTAGCCTTGTTGCTGCACCTTCCATGTTGGAGTTGCTAGCAGAGGTTAGAGGAACACACCTTGGGATCTGTGGTGTCTGAAAGGGTGAGATGGGACCTAAACTACAGGATTTCAACTAGGAGGGAACCAAGCACAGCCTTCTTCCTGCTGTTCTTCCTGTCTGAGCGGCAGGAGTAGCCAGACCCCTTCCTTTGTCCCAGTCCCTTACCCCCAGCAGTCCCCACCCACTGCTTCTACCTGTCCTTAGTGCCAGCCAGAGCCCAAGAGCCCTTGCCCAGATACATGTCCTCTGGCTCATCTGCCTGTATCTCACTTGTGTCCCAGTGATGTAATAATATCAGTGTGAGTGTCCTTAGAATGATTGCTGCTGCTCTTGAATGATTGCTGCTGCTCTTGGGAGCCATTGAGTCAGAATATAATCTTGCCTATTTTGCCAAGACCATCACATCCGTGCTATGCTTGACATTGTTACTGCAGCAGCAGTATTAGTCCATCTTATTGAGGGTTTTCCATCAATTAAAGGCATTCAGGGAAATAATAAGCAAAAGGAGAGCTGCTTTGCTCTTTTTTTTTTTTTTAAAAAAAAACATAAAATTTTATGGGCCCATGGATGTATATAGTTGGACCTTGCCTGATGGCCTGGGCAGATGTTAAGCAACAACATACCTGTGTATCTTTTAGTTCTTGTAGTACAATGTAATTGTATTTCTGTTGTTTTTGTTTACAGACATCCAGTGGCATCCTTTTTCCATTTATTCTTTCGAGTCAGTGCAATAGTAGTCTATCTTCTCTGTGACTTGTTCAGCAGCAGCTTTATTGGTTGTATGGTGACAATTATCTTGTTACTGTCCTGTGACTTTTGGGCAGTGAAGGTAGGTTTCTTTTTATTTTAAAGTGACATTGAAGATAATGAGAGTAATGTGTAAAAAATGAAAAAATAGGACATTTAAGTATTTGGCTTAGAGTTAAGGATTATTTTGTTATCTCAGATCTTAATCTGGGTTAAAATGTTGGGTGTGCTGTAGCTCATGTAGTTTATGATAATACTGAATTTCCTGTGCCATATATTAATTGTTCCTGACTTTTACTGTATCATGTAACCCAATCAAAGTTTCACTATTAATAATACATTTAACTGCATTAAAGAAACTGCATGAAATTACAAAGAAAATTACTGGTATTGGTAATAATTAAAATGTTTTAAGAGAACAATTTCTGGTATAACAACACGTATTTCTTTATTAGTGAATTAGACAACAAGACATAGTGGAAGATTCAACAACTGTTTCGATGAAGATAATATTTTGAGATCCCTGCAATCACTATTACAATATGAAAAATACTAGTGGTTTCTATTTGTGTCAAAGACAAAAAGACTTAATTTCAAATTTCAGGTGGAAGTTAGTGACATAAAGATAACCTTTTCTCTCCATCCAAGATCACAGAAAGTCTGAATCTATTCATGAACTCCAGATTGAAAACCTCCTACATGATCTCTTCCTCCTCATTCTTTATATTTCATTCCAGATGTTGAGGAATTCCTCGCAGAGTCAGTTCCAAACACTTAGCCTAGATCAGATCTTCCTCGGACATCTAGAAGCCCCTGTTCTTTTCCCCACAGCACTCTGCCCTGGTGATGTTGATACTTTTGTACTGATTAACCTCTCTTTATCCCAGCACTTGGAGGTTCTTTGTGATAGGGTCATGTCTATTGTCATTTTATTAACAGCACCTGCATGTAATATAAGTTCAGTAAATTTATTTTAAATAAATTAAAAGCATTAAGAAAGCTATGAAAAGAATTTATTAGATCCATGAGAAAAGAACTTGGCACATTTGAAGTACTGACTGAAGGCCAGTCCGTGTAGCCATTTCTAGGGATATGTGGTTACATGTGTTACAGTCAGGATATGTGAGAAAAAGTAAGTCATAGTAACAAAAAGCAAAGGCTTTTTTGGAATGTATTTCACAAGAAGGAAAAGGACAAGTGTCCAAAAGGAAAGAAAGAGGCAGTCCTTATGGATGATTTCACTGATCTTTGTGAAAGGATATAATAGGACTTTATGGTAGATCTTTAAATAATGCTTTTTAACTAAATGTACAAATGTTAATCTTTACCAGAATGTCACAGGTAGACTAATGGTTGGTCTACGTTGGTGGAATCATATTGATGAAGATGGAAAGAGCCACTGGGTGTTTGAGTCCAGGAAGGTAAATTGGTCCCCTTCTCCCCACCTTTATACAGTGTCATTTGAATTATTTAAGAATGAAATAACCAAGATTAAAACACCAAATCACTTGACATATCAACATAAACTAGATGGCTTCTAAAACTTACATTATTCTCTCTAGTTCAGACTGGAAATAAAGCATGTTTTTGACCACATCTTCTGAAAAGTGGCCATTGGGTCAGAGTTCATACTCTGAGCTCTGCTGATGGCTCTCTGTGGAGTGGTAGATTGCTGAACTTCTAGGGATCTCTCTTTATCCAGCTGATAAAGTGTTGCTCATATCCTGCTCACTCCTTTCTCCCATAAGTTTTTTTCCTTCTGTTTAGGAAGAATGGATTGTACCTGATTAGAAAATACACATTTTCTGTTATTTAGGCTGGTGATTTTAGGAGCCATGGGTCACCTTCTTCTTTTTTTTTTTTTTAAATTGTTTAAGATTAGTCTACTGCTCCTTAGTGAGTCAACTAAGATTTCATTCAGTTGCCCTGTCAGGGATACCTCAACAGATCAGATGTTCCTTTATATTAGAAAATCTGCCTGGGGAGTGGGGAGGAGAAAACTCTACCTTGGAACCAACTTGAAGATGTTTTGGCCATTGCCTGGAATCTTTTAACTTCCATCCTGATTTGTTTTAACATTTTTTGTACCATAGAGTCAGAACTGACCCATAGCTGACTCTCCAGTGGGTTTTAAGAAGAATTTAATAACACTGGAGGAGTTTGCACATCCTTTTCCTGTGAAGTGGTTGGTGGCCTTGAACCGTGTGCCTTTGGGATTGCAGTGCAGCTTCTTGCCATTAGGTCATCAGAACTCCTATTTTTTTTTTTTTACTTTTGGTGTCAGTTTTGATTCCTTGTTCCTCATCTAGTGTGGTATTATTCAAAGCTTCTTTATGAGTGCATAAAGGTACATTGTGTAAGAGGAATTGAATTAAAGACTATCCGGTTCTCTTTTTTACAGCTTTGGGCCATGATAAACTCAATTTTTTCCTAAAAATTAAAAAAAAATTTCTTAC